GCAGATCTGAACGAAAGCTAGCGAATGAGTACATTTGATAGGAGGAGTAAAAACCCATTTTTGACAAAAAAAGTTCATAAAAAAGTAGTCAAACAAAAAACTTAAACTTACAAAACCGAAAGTATTTTATAAAAACTTCAAAACGACTTTTTATTAAAAAGATCAAAAACTCAAAACAAATTCCTGCTCAAAACAATTCAAAAGTTTTTTTTCTAGTCGCAATTTGACGAGCATGAATTTGATTATTAACTGGCATACGCAATCTTTTATTTTGGCTGAAAAATGATTCAAAGTGAAGTCAAATAAAATTTAACTGTTGCTGTGCAGCTAGCGTGAAAAGTTTGGACCACAAAAATAAAAAAAATCATCCACAGACATACAAATATATTGCAAATTGTGATAATTTTTTATTTTTCAGCAATGAGCAGATCTGAACGAAAGCTAGCGAATGAGTTTATTTGATAGGAGGAGTAAAAACCCATTTTTGACAAAAAAAAGTTCATAAAAAAAGTAGTCAAACAAAAAACTTAAACTTACAAAACCGAAAGTATTTTATAAAAACTTCAAAACGATTTTTTATTAAAAAGATCAAAAACTCAAAACAAATTCCTGCTCAAAACAATTCAAAAGTTTTTTTTCTAGTCGCAATTTGACGAGCATGAGTTTGATTATTAACTGGCATACGCAATCTTTTATTTTGGCTGAAAAATGATTCAAAGTGAAGTCAAATAAAATTTAACTGTTGCTGTGCAGCTAGCGCGAAAAGTTTGGACCACAAAAATAAAAAAAATCATCCACAGACATACAAATGTATTGCAAATTGTGATAGTTTTTTATTTTTCAGCAATGAGCAGATCTGAACGAAAGCTAGCGAATGAGTACATTTGATAGGAGGAGTAAAAACCCATTTTTGACAAAAAAAGTTCATAAAAAAAGTAGTCAAACAAAAAACTTAAACTTACAAAACCGAAAGTATTTTATAAAAACTTCAAAAAGATTTTTTATTAAAAAGATCAAAAACTCAAAACAAATTCCTGCTCAAAACAATTCAAAAGTTTTTTTTCTAGTCGCAATTTGACGAGCATGAATTTGATTATTAACTGGCATACGCAATCTTTTATTTTGGCTGAAAAATGATTCAAAGTGAAGTCAAATAAAATTTAACTGTTGCTGTGCAGCTAGCGCGAAAAGTTTGGACCACAAAAATAAAAAAAATCATCCACAGACATACAAATATATTGCAAATTGTGATAATTTTTTATTTTTCAGCAATGAGCAGATCTGAACGAAAGCTAGCGAATGAGTACATTTGATAGGAGGAGTAAAAACCCATTTTTGACAAAAAAAGTTCATAAAAAAAGTAGTCAAACAAAAAACTTAAGCTTACAAAACCGAAAGTATTTTATAAAAACTTCAAAAAGATTTTTTATTAAAAAGATCAAAAACTCAAAACAAATTCCTGCTCAAAACAATTCAAAAGTTTTTTTTCTAGTCGCAATTTGACGAGCATGAATTTGATTATTAACTGGCATACGCAATCTTTTATTTTGGCTGAAAAATGATTCAAAGTGAAGTCAAATAAAATTTAACTGTTGCTGTGCAGCTAGCGCGAAAAGTTTGGACCACAAAAATAAAAAAATAATCCACAGACATACAAATGTATTGCAAATTGTGATAGTTTTTTATTTTTCAGCAATGAGCAGATCTGAACGAAAGCTAGCGAATGAGTACATTTGATAGGAGGAGTAAAAACCCATTTTTGACAAAAAAAAGTTCATAAAAAAAGTAGTCAAACAAAAAACTTAAACTTACAAAACCGAAAGTATTTTATAAAAACTTCAAAAAGATTTTTTATTAAAAAGATCAAAAACTCAAAACAAATTCCTGCTCAAAACAATTCAAAAGTTTTTTTTCTAGTCGCAATTTGACGAGCATGAATTTGATTATTAACTGGCATACGCAATCTTTTATTTTGGCTGAAAAATGATTCAAAGTGAAGTCAAATAAAATTTAACTGTTGCTGTGCAGCTAGCGCGAAAAGTTTGGACCACAAAAATAAAAAAATAATCCACAGACATACAAATGTATTGCAAATTGTGATAGTTTTTTATTTTTCAGCAATGAGCAGATCTGAACGAAAGCTAGCGAATGAGTACATTTGATAGGAGGAGTAAAAACCCATTTTTGACAAAAAAAAGTTCATAAAAAAAGTAGTCAAACAAAAAACTTAAACTTACAAAACCGAAAGTATTTTATAAAAACTTCAAAAAGATTTTTTATTAAAAAGATCAAAAACTCAAAACAAATTCCTGCTCAAAACAATTCAAAAGTTTTTTTTTTAGTCGCAATTTGACGAGCATGAATTTGATTATTAACTGGCATACGCAATCTTTTATTTTGGCTGAAAAATGATTCAAAGTGAAGTCAAATAAAATTTAACTGTTGCTGTGCAGCTAGCGTGAAAAATTTGGACCACAAAAATAAAAAAAATCATCCACAGACATACAAATATATTGCAAATTGTGATAATTTTTTATTTTTCAGCAATGAGCAGATCTGAACGAAAGCTAGCGAATGAGTACATTTGATAGGAGGAGTAAAAACCCATTTTTGACAAAAAAAAAGTTCATAAAAAAAGTAGTCAAACAAAAAACTTAAACTTACAAAACCGAAAGTATTTTATAAAAACTTCAAAAAGATTTTTTATTAAAAAGATCAAAAACTCAAAACAAATTCCTGCTCAAAACAATTCAAAAGTTTTTTTTCTAGTCGCAATTTGACGAGCATGAATTTGATTATTAACTGGCATACGCAATCTTTTATTTTGGCTGAAAAATGATTCAAAGTGAAGTCAAATAAAATTTAACTGTTGCTGTGCAGCTAGCGCGAAAAGTTTGGACCACAAAAATAAAAAAAATCATCCACAGACATACAAATGTATTGCAAATTGTGATAGTTTTTTATTTTTCAGCAATGAGCAGATCTGAACGAAAGCTAGCGAATGAGTACATTTGATAGTTGGAGTCAAAACCCATTTTTGACAAAAAAAAGTTCACAAAAAAAATAGTCAAACAAAAAACTTAAAAAACCGAAAGTATTTTATAAAAAATATTTCTTATTTTTTTAAATGATTTTCGTACGATTTTTTTGGTTTTCAAGAAAACGCTAAAACAAACTTCAAGATCAGTTGTTCCGAAGTAATAATATATTTTTACGTCATATATTTTTATTCTAGACCTGGTGGCTTGCTTTATTCGCTCTCAATTAGACCAAAAGTTAATTTTTTAAACAACATTTTATACTCTTAGGGAACTTTTTAAAAAATTACTTAGGTTCGAATAACGACTGATACGAAAATACGCCTTTAAATGATACGAAAGTTGATCTTTCTGATATTTATTTGTAGACCTGAATTTGAGTGGAAAATAAAAAACTAAAAGATAACCGATTAAACTGAAACAGAAGGAGAGCCGTTTGCTGTTCAAGTAGCACAGAATGTTTCAAGCAAAATTAAAAAACTTACAAAAATTTATCACCATACTAATTTCTTCAAAGTAGTGCCACAATTTGTTCGTGATGTGATAAGAAAAGTATACACACGCGTATAAAAAATAAGAAAGCTAGCCATAACCGACAACAGCGTTCTTCAAAAAAAAAGAACAAAAAACAAACAAATGAAATTCCATTTTTTTGCACAATTCTTTCAAAAAATTGAAGTGGCAAATGAACTTTTCGAAACTAGTTTTCATCTGAAAGAAATTTTAAGCCTATATGGCCAATATAACAAATTATTATCATTGTGTTTGGTCGAAACTTGACAAAAAATTTTAAACCGGTTTTCCTCAAAACTGGGAATTTTTTTTAGAAAGTTTTTATTGACGTTCCGGCTGAAGGGACTTTAATATGATATATCACTCAACCCAGTCCAATCATTATTTGTGTAACCTGATTTTCCGTGGAAAATAAAATAAAACAAAAAAGTAAAATACACGCGAACACAAATTCACCTCCCCACTTTCAATGATTGGAACAAAAAGGCCAAAACACAAAATAAAAACGAATAAAAAAACTAAAATACACCCGAATACAAAATTGCTCACCAGTTTCAATGGTAGAAATACGTAGCAAATTCTGATATTAGAACAAAAAAAAACTTCATTTTGCGTGATCAAGTTACTTGGCATTGTGTGGGCGTTTGCTAAACAATTTTTCTCAAGTATCTATTAATTCTTTTTGCTTACCAAAAAATTACATAATATGCATTTGAGTGCAATCGCAACACAATGTATGTTTTTCGTTCAGGCAATCTTGTTGATTTGCATTAAAACAAAAATGACGAGTATACTTTTACAATTTACACAACCTTATTTTAGAAAAACTCATTTTTAACCTGCCAAAAATGAGTTTTTCCAAAATTACGTTGTGTAAAGTGTCGAAGCAAACGCGTCATTTTTTTGTTTTAATGCAAATCAACAAGATTGCCAGAACAAAAAACATAAATTGTGTTGCGATTGCACTCGAAACTTCATGCAGTAGTTTTTGACCTCAATGCTTTTATTACTCATGTGCAGTATTAAAACTTTTTGCGGCAAGTTTTTTTGCTTCACTATGCATTTAGACGTCATTTGAAACTATTTAGAAAAATCCACAAGAACTGTATTCACATTTAAGTTTTTTTGTTGTTTTCAAGCGTTTCTTTTTTAAGTTGACGGGTTCCAAGGCTGAGGTGTTCGACTAATGATAACGTGGAGCGATAACATATTTTCGACCTAACTGAGACTGTCGAATGAAAACTACTGTCAAACTAAAGTCGAGTCACATATGAAGCACCTCAGCCCGGGCCATATACCATTTCACAAATCTTGCAACAAAAAATCTAGTAATTATGAGTTTAGGCTCAAGGTTAAATTTTGAAAAATAGTAGGCATGAGCGGACGTCTTTAGCTATAAACTTATAAGTTTTAATAAGTTATTGAATTGTTTCCTCGAAACATACTCACCTGGTGCAAAATGTGTAGCAATAATTCCCCCATTGTTAAAAAGAAAATAAACGGTAAGATTGAATAATTTCAGTAGTCCAACTAGTATATTTTGACTGCTGTAGTCACGCTTATAATCTTAAGTGTTTTATAAACTGATGGCCAAATAATTGGTTACTGCTGACCTGACAGTATGGTTACACCTGCGCAAAAAATTCCAACAAAAAGAAATATCGCTTTGAGCGCCGGATCATGTAATCTTTTTCAGCGAGAAATCCTTTATAGAATTTTTGCCTAACTTGCATCTTTGATGCTTGTTTTTTGAACTCATACAAAACCAGTGCTTTTTCAATAGACCTGTAACCAAAGGAAAAATTTTTTGAGACGGATAAATTTACGAAATTTCAAACCTTTTGTTAAGTTGTTGTCTTTTTATGAAAATCAGTTCATGTTTTTTTTGTATTTGTCATGAAAAAATTAGTTTTGAGTCAGTTGTTCATTTTTTTCAACTCTCTTAAAACAAAAAGTAAAGTAGTCTTTTGGTTCCAGAATCGGTCCGGCTGCCGAGGAACCGAGTTATGTGCGACACGACTCCTGCTCGGACGATGAAATCATGGAGAGCTACAAGCCACGCATCCCTCCCAAGTTCTGCAAACCACTGAAGAATTTGCAGCTGGTGGAGGGCAGCAAAGCTGTGCTGGAGTGCACGGTCACACCCCAGAATGACCCCACTATGGTCATAGAATGGTTCAAGGACGGAGTGGAGATACTCCAGGTTGATACTCTTGTGAAATGAACTTTGTTATAGATTAAAAACAGGAAAACAAAACGGTATCAAACACTTTTTTTTGTTTTCCTGTTAACAACAAGCGGTATCAAGCGACAAACTAGTTTTTGTGAAAAGAGTGTCTTTAATTTGGTTTCTTCTCTAATTGATGAAAAAAATTGAGAAAAATCACTCTACACAAACCGGACAACCACGAACGGGCCTTGAGTTTATAAAATGGTCGTGATTTCAAAAAAAAGATAGCGCCTCAAAAGCTAATTCAGATTAAGCCAGTTTTGTTTTTGAAGTTTTGCTGCGTAAAATATGTCTTTGTTTTGGCTAATGGATGTGGCTTCCAAACAAGATAAGGGTCGATTACTTTGGCCTTTTCAAATTATGAAAAAATACGAGGGTATTGTGTTTCAAGGGTTCTCGGATCAAACTGGCGCTGAATGAGTTCGGGTTCTGCGTGCTGGAGTTCATAGATGTATGGCCTCGAGATGCCGGAGTGTACACTTGCAAGGCCACGAACAGCTGTGGTGTGGACTCCATTGGGTGTTCTATCAGTGTCATGAGTAAGGAGACTCTCAGTTCCAATAAACAGAATTAATTAGAACGAGTGCCTTACCTTTTTGAATAATTTTCCCTTGCAGTTTTGACTGAATAATTTTTAAAAGGTAAAATGAAGCTGGATTGTTGGACAAAATCTTTGAACTTGAGCATCTTGATTGATCAAAAACTTCGACTTTTGATGCGATAGGTTAATTGGCTTGTTTGTAACATTTGCCTTAACAATCAATTTGGTCGGTTCAGAAAAAGGAAAACAAAATTTCTGGAACATAAGTGAAAAACGGGATCCCCTCACCTCTCAAGGTTCTGTTTATTTTAAATAAATTGTTTCCACGGCAAACTATTTGAGTGTAAAAAGACCAATGGGCTCACAAGTACATGCTTTAAAGTTTGCGAATCTTCAGGAACTACTGAACTTGACAATGAATCCCAGTTGCCGGAAGACATGCAGGCGGGATATCAGGAGATGTACTACTTCGAAACTCTCAAGGGCATGTAAGTATAGAGCTACCCTGTCTGTCAAAATATTCTGTTTTGCGAACCAGTGTTATTTGTAAGCAGACACAGAAGCGAAAGTGGCAAAGATTTAGCGATCGTTTCCCTCGTAGATAAATTGTCTTAAATCGTACATCTAAATTTAAGTTTTTTTTAAATTTTTTGCTTGATTTTGTTTTGATTGTCTTCAGGAAAGACATTGACGACAATGACGAGGACCAGGAGCGTCCTATAATAGTGCAGGCGCCCGATGTGGTGGACGTGGTGGAAGGACAGGGGGCCAAGTTCATCTGCAGAGTCCACGGCAATCCCACCCCCAAACTACACTGGTACAAGAACGACGAAATACTCATGGAGGTAGCTTGACTAACAATCCAACAACATAAAATTGCTTGCTTACAACCTAAATAATAATAAAATCAAATAAGCGTTTAACTGGTTTTCATAAAATTAAAAATATTCGAACTGAAAAAATTTCGATCGGTCTGAATTGCTTACGATTAAAGGTGCAAAATGGACAGACATTTGTGTTCTAGTCGCGTCGTGTGAATGTTTGGTTTGACGGAATCCATCATCTCGAGTTCCCCAGAACTCGCTTCTACGATGGCGGAAACATCACTGTCATAGCACGCAATGTGCATGGGGAGGTACGCCACGACACCCAACTGATTGTGCGGGAGAAGCCCAACGCCACATCCAACCTTAGACACGTGCAGAGGTGTAAGTGAGGTCGAACGAATTGAACAAAAAGTTAATTTGAAAACAAAAAAAACGACCAATTGAATTAACTTCCGAGGTTTAAAAAAGATCCAAAAGGAACTTAACCCTCATCGCCAACCAAAATGGGAGGAGTTTAATTTGAAAATTCGATTTTTGCAAAAGTTGCCTACACGTGAAGTTGAAGCCAATATATACTAATCTCAAAACGCATTTTTTGTCAAATTTATCAAAAAGAGATCAAAAACGGCATTTTGGGCTTGCGTTTAAATCCAACCTCACCTCAATTTTAATTGAACCTATTTCGTTTTGATATTGAAAACGATTAAGACCACTTATCCACGGGGGAAAGGACGACCAACACAAGAGCTGTACATCCTGTTGTGCCCCCTGTTTAAGAACTACCTGCAATTTTTTTGGTTATTTTCTGGGTTGTGTAATGTTGCTTCACCTTCAAGCAACCAGAACGGCTCATGGTGAGCCTCGATCATCCGACCTTTCGATTGAGAGGCGGAGACGGAACCACTTCACCACTGCTCCCGAAATTTCGAAATTCTATGATTTTATACTATTTCTTATTATACTATTTTTCTGTTTATTTGAAGCCTTCACTGACACTGAGGTGAAGAAGATGAAGAGTGGTCGAGCGAGTACTGAAGAGGAGACTCCTGAGCTGAAGGAGGCATTCCGGAAAGCCAGAGTCCAGAGACCGGACGACCACCGACTCAACCACTTAGACGACAAACCAATCGACTGTGAGTATACAACGAACTCGCTATGCTGTCAATGCTGTCTTCTGCTGTTCCAGCTTTAATAGATAGACCAATTTTAAGCTGTTACCATTGGGCTTACAAGGTTGTGTAATTAGTATCACGAACAGACTAAATAAAGTTCGGACAGACAAATTTAATTTAAAAGAGCAAGAAAAAAACTTAGAAAAACTTAGCAGGCAGTAACTAACTTTTCAGACCGAATTTGTGTCTCCAGGTTTTGTCTGAATCAGCAAAATTGCATGCAAAAACTTGCCAAAACGGTTAAGTTGTTCCTTTAATCAATTCTGTCTGTCCAAACTTTTTGCAAATCTCTATTCACCAAATTTGTTTACAAAGGGTAATAAACTCACCGTCATGCGACAATTGGCAACAAAAAACAACTCGAAACAAGGATAGCCGCAGTTACTGTGCAAGTAGCACAGAATGTTCCAACCATAGTGTAAAAAATAAGAAAAATAAATCGCAAAATTAAAAGTCTGCCTGCCAAATGAACTGATTCGTTTTCATAATCTTCCGAGTTTTTTCGTCCTGTCGCCCCCCCCCCCAAGCTACGGGTTCGACACATAACTTTTGACCTGTTTATAATGTACCGCTGTTGACCCTCAAGTTAAGACCTGCAAATATTATGTTCAATTTTGTTATTTAAATATTTTTGTTACATTTTCTTTGACGACCTGAAGTAACCTTAGCTTCAAACCAGAATTTGATATTCAATATGTAACTATGCCATTTTAGATCCCTTTGAAAAACTGAAAGCAATCTTATCACGTGAGTAGTATGACGTTCGTATCCCTCGTCACTGATAATCCCGAGTGTCCTTATAGCATTTTCATTTGATGATACGCTTGATTTGTTTCTTGTCACCCTCGTCATTATTTCTGTATCATCTATTTTGTTGAATTTCAAACTTGCTTTCAAGCCTTTCAGTTAGAAGAACTCGATCTAGCTGCTAAAAACGTGCTCATTCCTTTCCAGAAGGTCCGGAAAACGCAGACGCGACGTTTCGAAAAACGAGACTACTTGAATGACTCAAAAAGAATAGCGGATTTGTGGGGAGAGGGCTAAAAAAGCTTAAAACAGTAGCAATGGCCTTAATTGGTTAAAATTTTATGGCTTTTCAAAAGTTAACAACAAAGCTTTTTAAATTGTAAACAAGGAGAGCCGGTTACTGTGCAAGTAGCACAGAATGTTCCCACCATAGTCTTTAGAAAACTATGGTTTAGAAAGTTTTTTTTTCCAAATTAGTATAGTTATTTCTGCTTGGTGTGATAACAGGACCTGACGTAAAAATCGAATTTATGCATATAAGACAGTCATATTAATATGGGAGATTGGACAAAAAATGTTTGTAGAAAAATGACTAGAAAAACTTTTAAAAAAATTGAAAAAAAAAATTCAAAATTTTTAAAGAAAAATTTTGAATTTTTGAAGTTTTTGGTTCCCAAAATGAAGCTAAAAACTCCAAAAACTAGTTTGTTTTTGCTTAAAATGAAAATTTTTAAGGTCTTCAATTAGGCATAATTCAGCTGTTGTAAGCCAGCTCGCTTGCTTTATTTGTTCAAATTAAGACGAAAAACCAAAATTTTCAAAACGGTTGTCTGGGAAAACTTTTGGATTTTTTCAAATGTGGTTCAAATCATGTCTGAAAGTGCTTTAATATGATAAATCACTCAACCCAGACCGTTGAATCTTTTTCACACTTGATTTTGCGTGGAAAACAAAAGGCAAAAAAAAGGATAGCCGTTCACTGTGCAAGTAGCTTAGAATGTTCCGACCACAATCTTACAAAATACAAAAATGTTTTTTCAAAATGGTGTCGTTTTTTTCTGCATGTTGTGATAAAAAAATCTAAATGAAATAAAAGAAATTAAGCATATTTGAGAGTCATACTAAAATAGGTCAATTGAAAAACATTTTTTGAAGAATATTGCCTAGAAAAACGAGAAAAAAAATTGAAAAAAAATTCACTTTTTTTTTCAAACTTTTTTACGAAAATTTTTTGAATTTTCAAATTTTGATTCCCAAAACTGCGCTAAAAAACTCCAAAAACTATTTTACTTGAGTAAGCTAAGTTTTCATAGCTCAAATTAAGCCTAAATAAACTATTGCAATTACTAACTACCTTACTAATTAGCTCGAAATCAAAAATCAAAAGTTTCAAACCGCTTTTTTCTCAACACTGTGAAGGTAGTTGTAGCAAAAAAAAACTATAATTTTAAAAATTATGAACAAAATACAAAAGGGATATAAAGCTATCATTACAGGAACCGAACGTTCAATGAACTGTTAGGTTATTTTGAATGATTTGAAAGCGATGAAAAAAAGTCGTTAGAGGCTTTAAAAGTTTTCAAAGCGTGATATCAAAACAAAATATTAAAATTTTTGACCACTAAAATCTGTACCGGAGCTTCCAGTTGAAGTTGGGTTTCGACCATTGTTGCTCCGACCATTGAAAATGGGTATGAACTTTGTATTCGTGCGTGTTTTAGTTTTTTTTTTTTCATGCAAAATCAGTTACCTTAAATAATCATCGGACTGGGTTGAGTGATATATCATAATAAAGGCCTTTTAACCGTGATTCGAAAGATATTCAAAAACAAAGTTCATACCCATTTTTCAAATGGTCGGAACAAAAACAATTCATTTTTTTGGATCTTTTTATACATATTTTTTTGGAATTTCGCAATTTCTAAGTGCCAGAGAAGCGCTACATGAAACTTCAATAACCATTTTACATTATCAGAAAATAAAATCTTCATAGCCTAAATAAGTTAAGAAAGTTAAATTCATTAACAGGCATATCAATAACATAAAACATCCCTCTTCCCCCAAACACTATCATCTCTCACGAAACAAAATCTAAGATAATTTTTTTTTTTTAAAAATTGCAATGTTTTCTTGAAAAAGTACCGTGATTAGATAGCCCTGACCCGTTGAATAGCAATGGGCTAGTTTGTTGCGACTCTCGATTTTATGCCGAGGGCCAAACTTACATCGCCCATCAATGAGCTCCCGTAGAACTCTTCATAATACAGTCAAGTCCCTTCGTTTAGATCCCTTCATAGTACAAATAAAATTGGACCTGTGGTACTAGTTTTGACTACCATAATTGGCTGTTGGAATAGTTCTGATGAGCTAGTTTTTTGGCAAAACTTGACGGAAAATTGAGGGCAATCACGCGCCAGAAATGGCTGGAGAAGAAAACTTCTTAAAACGTTTTGATTGTTCTGGGATATGTATTTAATAATGCCATTGAGCATTAAAAAAAAAAAGAAAAAACTTCAGAAAAACTTTAATGAACCCTCTCCCATTGGAATAATTCATGATCCATCACCGCTTTGCTGTCACATGCCTTGGAATTTTATTGACGTCCTCTTATCAGCTATTCATGCGATTTTGGTTTCCATTCCACTTTTTTCAAATCTCTTGCACACATTTTTAGTATATCACTTTATAACCACGATTTAAATGAAAATTTAAAGGGTGTACCTATTGGTGAATATCGCTCCAAGCAATACCAGAGGTCACCAAATCGAATTGTACTTCATGATTATTCAGGGGCGGATCTAGGATTTTCTTGAGGGGGGGGGGGGGGGCGGATTTTCAAAAAAAATTTTGTCGACCTTTGTTTTTAAAGCACTACATAGACCCTGTTTTGGCCAAAATTTCTGCGCCGCAGGCAAAATTTTGAAAAAACAGGCCAAAAAAGCGTTTTTAGGCACTTTTTGGGAAAATTTTACCAAAAAATCGCGTTTTTTCGGCGCGCGCTCCCCCCTCAAAATTAGTATATATTGGCGCCAAACGCAACTTTAGAAAAATTTTAGGATCCGTCACCAAAAATGGATATCTCAAAATAGTACAAAGGGAGATAGGTCAAATCCTTTGGGTCGGCAGGGGGTCAAGTCCCTGAGAGAAGAAAAAAAGGCGTAAGCCCCCCCCCCCCCCCCCTAAATCCGTCCCTGTAATTATTGCTTTGAGATCGATGTTAATCAAAATGTCTCATTCTGTTTGACTTCGTCACTGTTTTCCCACTTCTGTACAAAAAGTTAATGCTTCTCGTTTATCGAGAACAATTTGAGCATTTTTCAGTGAAAAACCGAGAGGAAGTACCCGAGTACGCTTCACGAATGCGCGAAGTGCGAAAATTGGATCCGACAAACACTGGCCAACAGGTATCGATGATGCCAGACTACGCCGAAATAACCCCGATCGACCCCAGCACCGGTATGCCAATTCAAGGACAAGGACAACCGGGTTTCGATCCCCAGCAGGGTCAGTTCGACCAGTCGGGTAATGTTGTACCGCAACAAGGGTTGTCTCACGAAGGATCTCGCGGGAACCGGTCTTCAAGTGCTGGACCTCCGGTGCCTGACGGAACCAAGCCGCAGTTCCTGCAACCCTTCTCAGACTTAAGTTGCTTCGAGGGTGACTCATCGTCGTTTCAGTGCCAGGTGACTGGCAGTGAACCCATGAGTGCGCGATGGTTCAAAGAAAACATGGAAATCCGACAGAACACCCCGGGATTCCAGGTTACGGCCCAAAATGGCATCTTGACTCTGACTGTGAAAAAGGCAACGACCAGTTTCTCGGGCAGATATATGTGTGCATTGAAGAACAAGTTTGGAGATGAGTCTTTGCACGCGAGGCTAACTGTTCAACGTAAGATTTGAATTTATTTTGTAAATTATGTATCTTGTTTGTATTTAAGAAAAATTGGATGCAAATTCCTCAACAAAAACTTTGCAATAGAGAGTAGAAGAACTCAATAAATTCGTTTTTGTTGAGTAAATTCCTCAACAAAAACTTTGGAGAGCAAAAAAGCGCCATAAATTCTTTGAATCTAATTGAAAATAAAAAGATAATACAAAATTGATTTTTTTAGGTAGAGGTGGCACCGCTCAGCCCGCAAAACCACCACAAGCGCCCAACTTTGCTTCTCATCTGCCACCGCCCGGGGCCAAAATGCCTCCTCAAAACCCCGCAGCATTTGAAACTTCCGGCCAAGCTCCTGGTCAAATACCCGGTCAAGCTCCTGGTCAAATGCCCGGTCAGGCTCGTGGTCAAATTCCCGGTCAGGCTCCTGGTCAAGTTCCCGGTCAGGCTCCTAGACAAATGCCCGGACAAGCTCCTGGTCAAATGCCCGGACAAGCTCTTGGTCAAATGCCCGGTCGAAATCCTGGTCAAATGTCCGGACAAGCTCCTGGTCAAATTCCCGGTCAAGTTCCTGGTCAAAGGCCCAGTCAACGCCCACAACAATTTCCTGGTCAAGTTTCAAGCCAAGCTCCGGGTCCAAATTACGACCCGACTTACTCACAACCTCAAGCAAATGGAACTATTAATGAACCTGTCAACCAAATGAACCAAAACTTTGCAAGCATGCCAATGCCTTCTCAAAATAACCAACAAGGTGGACCAGGCATGCCACAGAACGCAAACTATAGCCAGCCACCACAACCGAATTCAAATACTAAGCAGCCCCAATATGGTCAACAACCTCAATCACAGCAGCCGAAAAACCAAACGAGCTACGGGCCTAATAGTCAAACCCAAAACAGATCCTTACCAAGTAATCAAACTAGGATGCCGGGCAATCAACAAGGTTATCCTGGAAGCCAGCCAAATAACCCTAGTAATCAGCAAAACTACCAGAATAACCCACAACAAGGATATCAAGGTCCGCAACCTGGTTACCCTGGATACATGCCTCCCCAAACTAACCAAAGTAACCCTGATAAACATCAAGTTCCGGAACCAGCTCCGGTTCAGTTTAAGAGCCAAGCCAGTCTGCCGTCACAACCCCTACAGCAAAATCTACCCGCTGCCCCCAATAATCCCGGGATGAACCCCCAAGGGAATTATCAACATCCGGGTTACGCCTCCAATGGTCCTCAGCAATCTGGACCTTATCATACTCCGCCGAATGCTGGTATGCACCCCAGCGCACAGACAGCGGTCCCCGGTCAACCAGGGTTCCAGCAGGCAACACCCGGTCCTGTTGCGCCTAATTCATCGGCACCAGGATATCCAGGACAGCCACAGCAAGGCTTGTTTTCAAAATTGAACAGGGTCTTAGAATGGCAATTGACACAAATTTTTTGTTCTAAAGAGAAATATAAAGATACTAAGAAAAAATTAAGAACTTGTTTATTCTTTCGGTCGTGAGTGTATAGTAAATATGGTCAACAGTGGTACTACGTAGCTAATTGAACGCCTTTTCGTATAGCAATTATAATTCAGTTTTGTATCTTCACCATGCTATGAGAAGTTTTATTTGCAGCAGGGAGCAAGAATGGTTCGAATGCTACAATGACACCCTCCTTTGTGCGGGGTCTGAAAGATATGACTTTGAAAGTGGGGGAGTTCCTGATTCTGGACGTGGAGGTGGCCGGGAACCCATCGCCCAAAATATCCTTCTTTATGGCAAGTAAACTTTTTTGTAAGACTGAAACAGTTTGAATCTTTCTTAAATCAATCAAACAAAAGTTCATTCAAATTATATATCTGAAAACAAATGTTTTACCTGTTTTTAGTAATTTTTTAAATTCAATGAAATTTTGTTAATTGAATGATCATTTATTCTTTTTGATATAACTTCCGTTCTAAACCAGTTGCTTTATTTTTTTTTCAGAACTCGACGCAGCTGAAGCCCACGAACCGGGTGAAGATAGATGGGTCTGGCAACAAGAGGAAGGTGGTCATCTCCGGGGCCAGAGTGAGTGACTCGGGACTGTACGAATGTAGAATCGGCAACAATGCCGGCTCCGACATCAGTCAGGCACGCATCACTGTCCAACCACCTCCAGGTACAATTGCATTGAAGTGCATTACATTGCATTGCATTGCATTGCATTGCACTGTATTGCACTGAGTTGAAGCGAAGATTGAATTAGAGGCTCCTTTAGATACCGACAAAGTAAGCAAAATGGCCAAGAAAAAATGCAAGATTCTTAAGAAAACGTTGCGAAACCGAAAAATATATATTGATAAATACAATGTGAGATAAGTGAATAAAAAAGGAGCAGCTTTTTGACTGGAAATTTTATGAACGAAACTTGAGGCTTCAAGTTGACATGCAAATGTATCACTGATAAAAAAAATAGATTTGTTTTTGTTATCCAGGGCAAAACAAGCCGTTCAACCCTCCAGGTCAATTCAACGCCGCTCCTGTCAACACTGCTATGGGCCAGCCTCAAATGGGAGGACAGTCAGGAGGCTACGGGGACCAGAACCAGTATGTTGATAACCAACAGTACAACCAGACACCCATGCAACAGCAATACCCTCAGCAACAGCAAATTAGTCAGCCTCAAATGATCCCGCAACAAGGGGGGTTCGGCCAGCAGCCCGGTTACCAAAACCAACAGCCAGTGCCGCAGAATAATTACGTGTCACAAGCGCCGACCCAATATGGGCATCCAAGTCAAGCACAACCGCAGCAACAACAAAAACCTTTGCAGCAAGGGCTCAACCCCCCATACGGCTCACCCCCGAAACAGCAACCCACGCCAAGTTATGGACAAAATGAACCAATGGGACTACAACAGCAGGGCCAACCAATGGGAATGCAGATTCAGAATCAGCCATTGAGTATGCAGAATCAAAATCAACCAATGGGAGCGCAGAATCAAAACCAGCCAATGGCAATGCAGAATCAAAATCAGCCAATGAGAATGCAGAATCAAAATCAACCAATGGGAATGCAGAATCAAAATCAGCCAATGGGAATGCAGAATCAACACCAACCAATGGGAATGCAAAATCAAAATCAGCCAATGAGGATGCAGCAGCCTATGAATCAGCCAATGGGAATGCAGTATCAGAATCAGCCAATGAGAATGCAGCAGCCTATAAATCAACCAATGGGAACGCAGGCCCAAAATCAACCAATGGGAATGCAACTTCAGAACCAACCAATGGGAATGCAACATCAAAATCAACCAATGGGAATGCAGTATCAGAATCAACCAATGCAAATGCAAATGGGAAACAACCAGAACTACTACGGGATGAATCTCTGAACCTTTCTTGACAACAAAGAACGATTCAAGTTTTTAACACTAAGATAATAATTCAGCAGGGCGAAAATAAACTTGAATCAAAAAACTTCTAAATAAATAACAGTGCTTCTCATAATGTGACAATGCTGCAAATAACCTATACTATTTCAACGATTAATTTCAAAATTTTATTCTTAATTTCTTTTAAATCGGCAAGCGCATAAAATTTGCACATATTTGCTCCAAAGGCTTTTTGTGATTAAATTATGTCGTTCGAATATTCTTCTCTAGAAATGATCAAGAAGGTCAGAATCTTTTTTTTGTTGCCTTAGTACGCCACCGGGATATTATAACAGTTTTGGTGGCGTAAATATACATCGTGTATTTATCATGTATACTTTTTTGACATTTTCAAGTATAGCAAGTACGAGAAAGTACATTTTAAGAAAAAAAATGTCAAATTTGATCTGTTTAGACCCCTCAATTTCGCACGGTGTCAAAAAATAGAGTTTCGAGTCCGGGTCTTTTGAAAAGAGTTTGTTTTGAGGGGTTAACACAAACTACCTGGGTTGACATAAACTTATTAGTGATGCAACCAAATTGTCGAACTTTCGAACGTTAGTTTTATAGTAAGCCTTCGAAGGCTCTCGCGAATAATCGGTCTTATTTGACCTGCGTGTTATTGAAATGTTTGCATTAAGTATCCAAAACTCATCGCTCATTTTTCTTATTCATGAAAATTGTCTGAATAAAAGTTATCATACTACAGACTCGCAATATAAATTTGTGTTTTGTCTGACAACACAATAACCATGTAGTTTCACAATTAAGAAACCCACTGAATTTGTGGAAGTATTTCAAAGATATTCTGCATTTTGCAAACTTTTTAATTGTGATAATGATTCATTTTTCACTCAGAACCTTTTGTAAGAACTTTTTGTATTTAGTTAGAAAAATTTTCGTCAAAGTTATAGTAACAAAATCGTTAAAAATTGTCGAGTGTCTTTTCTTGACAGATTACATTTGTTTTATCTAATAAAAACTAAATTGTTTTTGGTCATAATGCTCTAAATTAGCAACAAGCATTAAGGACAAGTCGTGGCCATACAGGTAGAGTGTATAATAGCATCAGTGAGACATATTGCAAAATCCGGCTAGTGCGGTACTTCACTCCCAGTTCTGCTTTTTTCCCATTATTTCAGTATTCTGCTTTAATAGATTAGAAACGGAAGTTTGTGATTTTTCATTTAAAAAAAAGTTAAATACGCTGCTCACCCCAAATTTTTTCCTAGATCCCAAATACTTTTAAATTAGTTTCAGTGCATCTGCATGTTTCTTTTTACATTCAAACCCGTAATAAGTATCATTTTCAAAGAAAACTACTGATGCCAGATCAAAATGAACAAAAAGAAACATTTAAAATTTTACAAAACTTCAAGTTTGCTCAATTATAGATAAATTCTCTGAAAAAAATTGGTCGAAATAAGCTTTTTGGGTTGAGTTGGTCGCAACATAGCCTGATTAAATCAAACATGAATGGACACATTTTGCCTGGGTTGAGTCCGTCGAAATATAACCACTTTGAGTCGAGAAAGTCAAAATATAAGTTGCTTAAGCCAAACACAGCCCTAAAGATAGCTGCTTGAGAAGTCACATAAATTTCTGCAGTCAGAAACAGCCTAATTTGATTGAAGCCTAATTTTTTATATATCAAAAACTTTGGAGCAGATTTTTGTTCGATCATATTGCTCAAAATATAGCCACTTTGGACCATTTTGGCAAAACAGAGCTTCCTTGACTCAAACACAGTTGATTAATTTTGCTCTTCTCTCAGTTAAGCCAAAACTGTGTCTCATTGGGTCCAGTCAGTCAAAACAGGGACATTTTTGTCAAATCTGTCGCAGAATATTTCGCTCACCTCTAAAAAAAGGTGAGGTAAATTCACCCTAAAATGTACCTTAAATTATCTCAACAGTTAGGGCAAAAAGTGCTCACCTTAACCACCGCAACTACTACCTTAACTCACTTCAAGTCTAGCTTAAAGTTTGTGGGGGAACTACTTTAAATCTTACCTCAAGTCACCACAAAAATTACCTGAATAACTTACCTTAGATATGAAGGTAAAACTACCTTAAGCCACCTAAATTAATACCTCAACTCACCTCAACTCACCTGAACGTCACACTATGACTTGCGGGGAAATCACCTTGAAAGTTTACCAGAAGTATCCATTGTATCTTTGGACAAATTTTGAAATAACAAAAATCAAACTGTTATATTTCGAAAAATAAAACTTTTAAATTAGTTTTGCACTTAGTCACACTCAGTTCTCTTTTCAGTTTTAGGGCTAAAGGATATGCAATACTTGTTATCAGTGTAAGAAAATGTAAACAACATTACGATAGGCCAAACTGTGTGTCTCTATGCTCCTGAATTTCAGAGACAAGTCTTTAAACATGTTAAAATTTTGTCGGAACGATCAAAGAAAATGAAAGAACAAAAGAAGAACAAAGGGAGCGTCCTTATTGCGGAATCCGCTTACAATTCACAAAATACACAGTAATGAATATGACAACTGGCCTCGTAATGAAAATGACAACTGTTAAAAAAAAGATATGAAAACGAAAGTAATAAAGTTCCGGTTTCAAATTGGATTGATTTTCATTAGAATTGACGCTGTTAAAAATATGATTTACTGTTTTAGTTTCTTTGCCATGCTCGCAGAATTTCTAGTTTTTTGTCTGGGCCTCAATTTCTTGTATCCAAAGTTATGTGTACAGAAAACTAAAAAATAAAAAAGGTAATGATCTAATTATGACACTTAATTTTTCAACTTAAGGTGACAATCCAATAGTTTTTGTTCCTTCGCATAATATTGAACTCTCAAACATTTCGAAAAAGCAAAGGCTTAACCATTAATCGTCTTTACGGCTAAATACTTTTTACAATTTCAACAAAGAATTGGATCTTAGGAAGTTCGATGATAAGATTAACGCTTCATAAAACTTTTAGCTTATATTTTTTGATATGCAATGAAATTATTTACTCGTTTAGTGTTTGTGAAACTTTAATTTTAGCAATATGCAAATAAATTTTCCAAAATGCAAGTTACTTTTAGCAATATGTAAATCGTCCCCTTTCCGTTTTTTAATAAGGTCCAATTTGCTTTCTGTGTAATTTCTTGTCACTCCAAAGAAATGATAATACTCTTCCACTACTATAAATTTTTTGTAAAGAAAAATTGCTTCAATTTTTATATCAATTCCGACAGCAAGAAAGTTTGAAAGAATTCGTACTAAAGAACATTTGTTTTCGAAGCAGCAATGGAAAGCAACACCTATTTTTGTGTACTTGTCTGATATTAAACTCAAAGACAGTCCCAAACAACCCCATTCATTTAATTTTTCATTTCCCAAGAGAAGAAAATTCAAAAGCATACCGTTAGATATTCATCATTAAAGTTTTTATTTAAAAAAAATTTGAAAAAAAAAGTGAAAATAATTAGACACATTTTTACCAGGGCCTCTTTTTTAGCATAATTCTTTTTAATCGTTCTGAGAGCTTCCAAGCTTTGTTTATTATAAATTTACAAAAGATGTAAATTTGTTGTCGAGCAAGACACAGAACATTGATCAAGGCAAATTAATTCAAAATTGACAAAATACGGCGATTGATTTTGGTTAAGAACTGCAGAATACGAAAAGCAAAAAAAAGTTTGGAAAAATTGTAATAGAGTTAAATTACAGCCTTTCGTTCTCTCAATTGTAAATTTTTTCTCAATCAGTCAGAAAACTTTTTAAAAATCAGATCATTTTTTCCCGGCACTGACATAACTTTTTTTCAAATCAGGCACTTGTTTCTAAATCAGGGATGTAACGAAAGAGTTTTAATATGATAGCACATTGAACCTTGAAATATCTCTGATGGAGTCAAAACAGTTTGGACTATACAGGGGCTGGTTGGAAGAAAATGCACATTTTTCGACCATAATGATTGAAAAAAGAATTTAATCATGCGAAAAAAAATGAAAGCACAATTGATCAAAAAGTTTGAAAGCTTTTAACAATCCTTTGTAAAATTTTTATTTTTTATTTTTTCATAAAACCTGAACAAGTAAGAGCATATTAATGTAGACACTAGTCTGGAACAAAATGTTTATATCAATTTCTTGTCGTGTCAGTCATAAAAACTCTAAATTTTGTTTAAAAATGAAGAGAAATGAAAAGATAGCCGGTCGCTGTCCAAAAAATTAAAAATGTTACAACCACATTCAAAAAAACTTTCAAAAAAAACTTTCGATGGGATGCGAGACCTATATGAACGCAGAACATTAGTGAATTTCATAAAAATTGACCAAAACAACAAACAAAAATCGGATAAAACTTTTGATTAGAGAAAAGTTTATTATTTTAAATTTATGAAAACTTGTAACCAATTTTTCTGCGGTGAAACTTATTTTTTTGCACTCAACTGAACACATACTTGCTCTTTCGCTCGCTTCACAACAGAAAAGTTTTCTTATAGCCTTGACTCGCTCTTTTCTCTATCCAAATTACGCTAAACACGTACTCGCTCGATTTACGCGCTCAAATTTTGACTAAATCGAACTTCAGCCTAATTACGACTGGAAGTGTTTTAACCTGATATAGCATTCGAGCCATTCCTATGATTTTTGGTTGTTTCTGAATCTGCGTGGAAAACAACAAGACTGCTCGTATCAGGGCGAAGTCTTGACTGTTCGTTTTAAAGTCAATAGAGCAGTAATAACACGAAACAATTAAACATAAAAACGTAAAAAGGAAAAAATTTCAAATTGAAAGTTTTTGTGAAAGTCATCACCCCACACGCCTTATAAAGTACAAAGTGATAGATTTAGCTGCTAGTAACAAATCATTAATGCCAAGTAAGCTTTCTTCGTCCAATTTGAAACGATTTCTAAGCCGAAATAAATATCCTCTTACGCGTCAATAGCGCAAAAACTCTACAAAAAATAATCACAGGTGAAACATTTCTTTCAAATTTGAGCTCAAGACAACAATATCCTTTGAATGATATAAAAAATTAGGGCAAAAATGGCTGGTTGAAAAATCGAAACTTTTCCTGAAGAAAAAAAGACCAAAAAAAAATTTATTCACTCAGATCAAGTTGGTCACTGGGTTCTCAAAACATACAATCTTACTTTCAATATGACAATGATTGCTTCTAACTTCTTCAAAACGTTTCATAATTTACTCAATTTTTTAGTTCTTTGTTTTGGCTGATAATATTCTTGTTGTTCCGACTTTTGAAGAAAAAGAGGAGTGTTTATGATTGGGGTGGTTTTTTTATTCAGTCAGTTTTCGACTTGTTAATTAAGAAGACTTTTCAAATTGGTTGAAGGAAGCTTGTTTGTCTTAATTGATATGTAACTAGGAGCAAAAAATATTACTTTGTACTTCATATGGCGCGTGAAGGATGGTTTTCACAAAAAAAAAACTTAAACTGTTTTAAAAAATTTTAGTTTTTGAATTTTATTTTTTTTCATGTAATTATCTCTCCATAGAACATAAATTGCAATCAGATTTAGAGCTTCGTCTTATTTCGAGCAGTCTTCTTCCGATTTTTGAAACAAAAGTGACGGAATATTCGTGCTCGGATGGTTTTTTCTTCAGACAAATTTCGACTTTTTAACTAGCCGTTTTTAACAAAAATTTCTTTTATCATTTAAAACGTATTTTTGTCCTGAGTTTATCATTGAAACGATTTTTTTACCTGTGATCATTTTTTGTAAAATTACGGGGGTTTAAATATTGCCACTTTCACCAATTTTGGAAAATTAACGCGCGATGTATTTCGCTCCATTAACGCGCAAGCGGAGATTTATCCCGTATTAAAAGTTATTCCAAATTGGTTAAGCAACTCGGAGCGAAACCTTTGATTTTGTACTTTACATGGTGGGTGGGGTGATCATTTTTACAAAAAATCTCAATTAAAAAAAATCATCTTATTTTAAAACTTTTAATTTTTTCATGTTAGTACCACTCCATAGATCTTAAAGTGCAGACGGATCATTCAGGGCTTTGCCCCGAAACGAGCAGTTTTGTGCCGACTTTTTAACTAGCCATTTATGAGGGAATTTTTTAATATCATTAAAAAAGTTTTTTTGTCCTGAGGTTAAAACTGAAAAGATATTTCACCCGTGATTTTTTAGTTATGGGGGTTTAAAAATTGCCGTTTTGGCCACTTTCAGACAATTAACGCGCTATATGTTTCGCGCTATTAACGAGTAAGCGGAGAAGTAATCCGTCTTAGAATACGTTCGATATTGGTTGAAAGAAGCTTATTTGTCATAATTGATTTGTTTACTATGAGCGAAGTCTATTACTTTGTGCTTCATATGGTTTGTGGGGTGATGAATTTTATAAAATACCTCAAATAAAAAAATCTTTTTTCTTTATTACATTTGATTTTTTCATGTTATTACTGCTCCATAGACCTTAAAAGGTAGTCGGAATATTCAGGGCTTCGCGCATATACGAGCAGTCTCGTTTCATAAGAAGCGAACGCCTTAACTATAATTGTTGCAGCCGGGCTTCAAATGTCTCTGTTTTTTCCTAACACGTTTCAAAATAATTTTAATGCTATTTTATAAGAAGATTATAAAGAAAATTTAGGTGCTTAATTATTTTATTAAAAATGAGTTCACATTATTGATGCCAATTACAAATCAGATGAATTAAGCCTCGGGTCAGAAGGGTTAAAATATAAATACAGCAAAGATAATCCAACTTTACAAAAATAGTGCGCAAATTACGAAAGTAACTCCGACAATTACAATCGCGTTTGCATCGGTAAATCGAGCCCAATGAAACGACTCGGTGACGTCATATCCGAGTTCGCGGATTCGTTTCTTCTCGAGTCTCGCCTCTCGTTCTTCTCCTTCTGTCGTCAACCCGCAGAATCTTTTCACAACGTTTGAACACTTCTTGCTGTTTTGTTCGTCTTCGCTTAGATAGAGCCAACTTGACCTTTGCGATGCGGTACCTCGCTGGCCTTTTCCCGAGACAGGGTTCACACCGAACTCGGTCTCCATTAACACGTCATGGCGATACAGCCCCCCACCTATAGTCCTTATGGGCGCCGTGAGTTCTTCTTCGGTTTCTAAATCTTCATCTTCGGGTTCGCCGAGGTCCACTCGCTGACAGATGGAGAAGCGAGTTGCGAACGTGAGTCGGTACAGGTATCTGGAGGGAATGGGGTCGGTTAAGAGTGAGACTACTACTGTTACTCCCAGACATACTATGAAACTGAATGCTGCAAAGTAGAGATAGTGGAAGGGTTTGATGTAAGACGGCCTCGTGTCCTGCAAGGAAAATAAGAATCAAAAACTGGCAATATTTTTAAAGGCTCAACTAATATCTATTCAATCAATTATTACACTTTATAATTAAGTTAGTACAGACGTATCAGCTTAACCTCTGTTTATAGTACCGTCGTCTCACAGAGGAGACGGATCTAGGATTTTTTCGAGGGGGGGGACTTGACTAAACTGATATTTATGTAGACGAAACTGATTTTCCGAGCTCTGCCAAAGCACTAAAAAGACCTTGTTTTGGCCAAATTTTCAAAAAACATGCCAAAAAATGCGTTTTGAGGCACTTTTTGGAAAACTATAACCAAAAAAATCGCGTTTTTTTTTCAGCCCACGCTCCCCATCAAAATTAGTATTTAATGGCGCCAAAGGCGCCTTAAAAAAATTTTAGGGTCAGTCAGTCAAAAATGGATATCTCAAAAAAGGGGACCCTTGGGTCGGCAGGAGGTCGAATCCCAGTCCGTCCGTCCCCCCCTAAATCCACCCCTCCCGTTTCATATCAAAAAAAAATATTTAACTAATATCTCTCTGAATCATTCATAGAGATCCTTTAAAAACTTTCGTTTTTTTGCAATGGGACTACTACAAAAATGTATTATTTTTAATGTTTTTCTGCTCATTTCTGGGTTATTTTAAGCACAGCGAACCAAGTCTGCGTTATACAACTTACATTATTGATGTGTTCTTCCAAGCAGAAGAGAAAAAATGTGCCAGTTATGGTTGGCCAGGCCTTTTCTGATTATCAAATAGCATTTTTTACCTACAATCTTTTCTGTGAATGCCAAAATTTGCAGCAAAATTATGACATGAGTGAGGAACTCAATCCAGTGAAATTAAACAAGGCTCGGTAAAGTAGAATAGAGTCGAACAATGTCCACAAAGTCAAACAAGAATAGCCGGTTACAGTGCAAGTAGCACAGAATATTCCGACCATAGACTTTAGAAATTTACGATTTAAAAATTTTTTTTTTCCAAATTAGTGTAGTTTTTTCTGCTTGGTGTTCCGAGCTCTTTCAAATAAGTGTAGTTTTTTCTACTAATAATAAATAATTTAGGTGTATAAGACATTCATAGTAACATAGGCAAATTGAGAAAAGGTTTTGTAGAAAATTGACAAAAAAACACAATAAAAAAAATTTCAAAATTTTTTGCAGAAAATTTTTGAATTTTTTTGATTTTTTTGGTTTACAAAATCAAATTATAAACTCCGAAAACTAATTTTACTTGCTTACAACTAAGTTTAAAGGTCTTATTTTAGGCGTATTTTAAGCCTGCTTTTATTGTAAGCCTGCTCGCTTGCTTCAGTCGCTCGAATTGAGACAAAAAATCAAAAGCTTCAAGCCGGTTTTTCTCGACACTGACAAAAAATATCATTCAACCCAGCCCGATGATTATTTGTGGTACCTGATATGCGTGGAATGCAAAAAAAACATGGATAGCCGGTTAATGTGCAAGTAGCACCTAATGTTCCAACCACAGTCTTAAAAATACAAAAAAAAAAGTTTTTTTTTTTCAATTTGGTGTCGTATTTTTTTGCATGTTGTGATGAAAAAATCTGCATAAAAAAAACAAAAATTGTTTCAAAAATTGTTTCAAATTTTTATGCAGAAATTGTTTCAAATTTTTATGCAGAATTTCAAAAATTGTTTCAATCTTTTATGCAGAAGTTTTTTGATTTTCCAAAAATGCGCTAAAAAACCCCAAAACCTAAAACTAAGATTTCATGGCTTAAATTAGGCTTAAATAAGCTCTGGTAAGCATACACAACCACCTTATTATCTCGAAATTAGATCAAAAATCAAAAATTTCAAACCGGTTATTCTGGACACTGTGAAAAAAATTTCCGAATTTTGTAAATGATGTTCGAAACACAACTGAAAAAGCTTTAAAATGATATATTACTCGATTCATTCCGATTATTATTTGTGGTAACTGATTTTGCGTGGAAAACAAAAAAAAATAAAACCCCCGAATACAAAGTTACTCCCCATTTTCAATGGTCGGAACAAAAAAAGAACACTGAAACACACGCGACTACAAAGTTCCTCTCCATTTTCAATGGACGGAACAACAATCTGGGGTAAAGTAGGACAGTCGAGTATGTTCAAGCTCGTTGAATTTGCACATAGTCGAAAATTGTCCGGTTATGTTCATAAGAGTCAAGCGACGTCCGGTGAAGACATTCCGAGTCGAGCTAAGTTGAACAATGTCGGGTAAAGTAGAAAAAATCGAAAACAGTCGTAGCTCAAAAAGGCAACAATGGACATCGCTCAACCATCTTGGTCGAATCACAAGTCGAGCACCATTGCCCGGTAGTTTTAAGTTGAAGATTTGAGAATTGGAGTATACGGATCGCCACATTGCAACATGTAATTCCGTAGCTATACGCTTTTTAAATACTAAAAAGTTGATTGAAAGTCTATTAATCAATCAGACTACCAACCAATCATATTCACTAAGTATGAAAAACATGCTGTAAAATTTTTTCAAATCAGGCGCGAAAATTGATTTTTATTACAAAAGAAGGGAAAGATTTTGCAATGTAATTCCGTAGCTATACGCTTTTTAAATCCTAAAAAGTTGATTGAAAGTCTATTAATCAATCAGAATACCAACCAATCATATTCACTAAAGTATGAAAAACATGCTGTAAAATTTTTTCAAATCAGGCGCGAAAATTGATTTTTATTACAAAATAAGGGAAAGATTTTCACAAAAATTCCAAAACTTTTGCAAATGTTATTTTAATGTGACCAAATGGATGTTCCATACTCATTTTTCATACCAAACAAAAAAGGACATTTTTAAATTTTTTAAGGCATTAGGATAAATTAAAGACATTTGCACCGGATGATAAATGATAAAAAACTGGCCTAAAAACTGTTGTAAATAACTAAAATTACTGTGGGCGATTTCACTTTATCATTTTCTCAACATCTGCTGCGACCAAATATAGGCTCGGAAACAATCAAAAAGCAATAATTTTGGTACAAAAAAATTAAGTTAGAAATCGAGTTTCAGGGTCTAACTTGATCTTGTGCAATAAAAAATGCAGCTTCTTTGAAAAAACTAGAATGCATTTTTAACAGTCGAGAAAACTTTTTGTATTCTGCAGAAACTTTGTATTCTGCAGAAACTTTTTGTATTCCGCAGAAACTTTTCGTATTCTGCAGAAACTTTTTGTATTCTGCAGAATTTTTTTTCGAAGAGTTTTAAGAAAAATAAGAACACTTTTTAGAAGGATATGATAATGCCGCGTGTTACAGAAACGACAACAACCCACCCGCTTAATCAAACTAAATTAATTTCATCAAAACTTTCTTTGCCCTAATTTAACTTATACTTGTAGCTCACAATTATTTACAATGAATTTTGTCATCAATTGAATTTATAGTTTTTGTTCAATTTTTGGAGCAACCATATTATTTGTGATCAAATTTTGAGCAAGTTCTGTCTCCATTTTTTTTCGTCTAAATTCAACCCAATTCGAGAAAAACGCGATTTAAATTTCAAGTTTTATTTTTTTTTGTCTGGATAGTTTAAATCAGCCTGCGTCTAGTTTTTTTTACCCTCAAAAACATTATGTGGCTGAACACCACAATCAAGTATTTTTTTCTCGTACTAAGTGTGATTACCCAAGCATATATAGATCACGTCGCTGTTTGAAAGCGTATACACGCGTAATGAAAGTGAACGGTGTAACTTTTATGAATGTGGTGAATTCAAACATTCAATTAGCTTACAGGTTCCCCGCATGCTGGTGCCTTCCAAATAGCGTTGGTTAGAACAAAATGGGCCACTCCGATTATCATGCCGACTAGCAATCCAGCCGAAGCTCCGGGCTCAGTTGTCCTTCTGGAAGCTACAGCACAGATAAAAACAGCCGCAATAGGCGCCCCCATTGCACTTTGAACTGACTGCAAATAGTCCATTAGGACGCCGGAGTTCGACTCCATAACGATCGGAACCCAGAGAACAGACACTCCGATCAGAATCGCAACGAAGACCCTGCCGACGATCATGAGTTCGGCTTCGGGAGCGTTCTTCCGGACTAGTTTGTAGAAGTCCATTGTGAATACAGTTGAAGCGCTGTTAAACACTGAGGTGAGAGAGCTCATGAGTGCAGACAGCATAACGGCTAACATCAGACCTCGAATTCCCTGCAATAATTAATACTATTTATTTTCAGTTTGTTATGATGTTAGATACTAATTAGGTCGACCTGTTAGATACTAATTAGGTCGACATTTTTTTAGGTCGACCAAAATATAGTGTCGGTCGGCCAAAAATGGATTTCTTAAAAACTACCAAAGGAGGGACCCTTTGGGTAGGCAGGGGGTCGAATCCCTGAGGGAAGGGCGTCCTTTAAATCTAAATGCAGTTTTTTTGCCGAAGTTTTTATTGATCAGAATTATGAAAAACGAAATCAATGAGAACGCTTTCTTTTATCCAGTTCTTTTGTCGAAATTGGTTAAAAAGTGTGTTACCTGTGGAAGAAGTCCCACTACTAGTCTGGCGTATGCTGTGTTTGAGCAGCCAGAGGAGCTGCCACAGAACTCTTCACATTTCTTAGCGGTGTTGCAGGCTACTTCTTCAGTGTACAGGATACGACTGACCATGCCAGGGATGATTATCAGGAACATAGGACTGAAAAGTTTGTATTCGAAGTGTTTGAGCACTTTCAAACCCACCAACCTAACCAGCTCTCTTTTTTATTTTTAAATAGAAACAAAACAAAACATACCGTTGATCTACATGCGTAAAATTTAGAATTCTTATTTAAGAGCGTTGCAAAATAGCCCAGTCGAGAAAACAAAAATGGAAGAAAAAAACTGAACCAATTTTACGGCTCTAAATGAAAAAAAAAAGATAATTATTGATAATTATTTTTTGATAACTACCGCAAAAAGTAAGAATAGTCTTTGCGATGAAACTGACGTGAGTTTGAGCCATCCAGCTAGTATGGCTCCCAACTTGCCACTGGTTAAACTCCGGGCAGCCAGGGTTCTCTGGACTATGACTTGGTCTGTGCACCAGTACCATATACTGGTCACCACCATGCCAGTGAACACTCCAGGCCAGGGCAGGTCTCCGTCCACTGGACTGCGGAACAGCTTGAACGCATCCTCCCTCGGGTAGCCACAGCCTACTACACAAATGAACAACCACGATTAAGCTTAACTATAATTTAAGAAATTGCAATCATACAACAGAATCATACAAAAAATTTCAATTAGAACCACTCAAAATTATACGAGAAAGAAATGTTTAAACTATTCAACATAGTTTTATAATTTACAAACAAGTAATTTAAAAAAAAACAATGCAGTTGAACGAGATTGAAAAAGGGCCAATTTTGACTGTAAACTTCATATAAGTCACTATATACCTCATTGAGAGTTTCAAATCAAATGACTTACTTAATGTTGTGTTAGTTGGTATGGAGTTGGCATACTTCATCTTGAGGTCTTCCCACCCTCCCACCTCTAGGATGGAGAACACCATCAGAGTCAGCGCCCCCAGTAACATGATGACAGCCTGCGCAGTATCGGTGTAGATCACGGCTGCTAAACCACCTAAAAGCAAGAAACAAAAACATGACTCCCGATCTCAACATGATATTCCTCAATTGTAATGGCTGGTAGGTATTGTCTTTGTCGGCCAATAAGCACCTTTATTCCCCCAAAAAAAATCCCGACTAATAAAGCTTTTCTTCTGCTTAAAGGATCAAGAAATGAAATGACATACACTGCTGATTTAAACAAAACTCGGAAACAAAACTTTACCACAAAAATGGGGCAATTCGGCTCCTTTCATTTCAGCAAAAATTAGTTTAAAACATCTGAGATAGTTGATGGGATAGTTATATCATAAAAGTCTCTTACTTAGCCAAATAATGTTACAGAAAAGCGAAATCTCCAAAAATCTGTATAAGAGAACGAATTTTTGCTTCCTAGCCAAAAAACGTCATTTTTGCTACATGGAAATCAAAAATATTTGCTTAAAATCGATTTCAATCATCTCGGGTTTTGTTTGGTTGAGCAATAGCCTACTTTTGATATAAATTTTTCATCAATTAATTTGGTAGTTTTAGCTGAATTTTAACTACATTGAATGAAGCCAAAATGACCCACTTTTGATTTTTGTTCACATAGTTTTAAGTGTAATCTCAACCCAATTTGAGAGAAACGAGTTTAAAACTTCAGATTTTGTTCGTTTTATCCTGATAATTCAAGACAACGCTGTACTGCATTTATTATTGTTATTTCGTAAATTTTCTGATGGTCTTATGGTTTTCAAATATTAGCACAAATTTCTCAGCAACGGTCAGGGACAGATTTAGGGGATGGGCGGGAGAGCAATAGCCCTTCCCACCCCCTTCAGCGATTCGAACCCCTCACCAACCAAAGGTTCCCCCTGTATTATTATTTTGTGACATCGATTTTCGGCGACAAACCCTAAATGTTTTTAGAGGCGCCTCTGGCGGCAATATATACTAATTTTAAAAGGGAGCGCACGCAAAAAAGAGCGCGAGTTTATGGTGAAAAGGGCAGTTTTGACCAATATTTTCAAAAACTTCGCAAATTAGGGTCTTTTTAGTGTTCTCGAAGCTCTTAATCTTTTGATCGATCAATTTGGTCGACCTAAAAATAAAAAAATTAAAATCCCACAAATCAAGAAAATCCTGGATGCGCTTCTGAAAACGGTCAAAAGAAAACAAGACTGTTCAAATAATTGCAAACTTCTGAATTTTGCTACTGTCCTGCAAGTGACAGTCCTTTGCTACTGTCTTCTGAAATTTTGGCTAGAAATTCCGATAAAATTTTTTGGATCAATTAAACGCCTCATTTTAATTTGGAATGATTTCTGAGCCTGATTAATTTACCCCATTTGCTACGAATGATTAAAAAAAATGTAACTTTTTTTGCATTATTTATTCTAAGTTGGCACTTTTGAAAGCTCATAATTTTAGAAAAAAAAATGGTCACAGGTGAGCTCTATTTTAACCTTTGACCTCAGGGCATCAATGTCTTTCAGATGTAGAAAAAAAATATTTTGTCAAAAAGGTCGAAACTAGTCTGAAAAACTTCAGTCTTAAAATTTGAAACTGGTCTGAAAAAAAAACACTTCAAAATCAGATCTAAATCCGAACTCCTATTAAAAATTTGACTATCTGACACGTATAAAAAATAACCAAAGTGAAAATTTTGCAGATGCTGGTATCGCACCTCCTTCGAGTCCTGATTAAAACTTTGGCCAGCCATGTTTCTAGTCGATTGCCGTTAACATTTTTGAAAGAGCTGAAGTAGAAGAACAATGAGAAAATTCAGATTGATTCAGATTCGAGGCGTCTCTTAATTTCAGAGAAATTTCTTGTTTTTTTTTTAATTTTGTTTGATTAGTAGTGAAGACTCGTATTTTCTGCTGGTTATTACTTCAGCTAATTACTTAAGTGAATCAACTTCGGCTAACCTGCTATGGTGAACAACGCTGTTACAGCGAGAAGTGCCAGAATGGACAGATAAATATTCCAGCCGAACACCTGTTGGATGAAGGTGGCACCTGAAACAAAGAAACCAATTCAGGAAACCGAGTCACCTTCTATATTCAGAATAATCCATTTAATATACATTAACAAGAGGCTCAAGGTGTAAGCTTAGTCTTGAATCTTCTCAATAATATCGACGTTGTCTCTGTATTTTTGTTTCATTTTTCTACTTCTACTGCTCAATTATTGATTCAATTAATCAAATATATTTTTTTCTGTTGTATGCTCGTCAAAAATGAACGACAGAAGCCTTAAAGTTAATCGATTATTTAACTAATTAACTACAGCATTATAAATATATGAGTCAACACATGTTGGCATAAGTTTTCGACGTCATAAGATAACTTTCACAGCTTTCAAATAGCTGGCAAAAGCTGTGGGACGTCCGTTGCTTCCCGGGTCGAGGTGTTCGACATATGTTTTAACCGACTGTGATCGACTGTTTTCGAACAAAATGTGTATCAACAGTAGACGCGGCCAAAGACAAAGGTTTCCGACTGTGTTAGACTCGACCCGAAGTAGCTGAATTTGATTAAAAATTGCATTCAAAGTGTCTATAATTTATGTTATCCAAAAATATTTTTCAGATTTTCTGTAAATTCAAAATGGTCTAAAGTTTTTTGAGCCTCAGTAGTAATTTTAGATGGTTAACATTCTTTGAATAAAATTTAGATTCATATCAGATCGGGATGGGGAATTTTGTCTTCTGCTCTAGTTTCCCACGCTATATCGGATACCACAAACAATCATCGGAATGTCACAAAAGATATATCATATTGAAGCCCTTTCAATTTGATTCTAACAGCTTGTTGTACCATATTATTTACACTAGCATATTTTTTCACTAAGCATATTTTTTCAGTAGCATCTTTAAGTTTCACTAATTGTTTGAATTTGTATGAAAACTACCACCATACTACACGGGTCGAGGTGCTTGACTTGTTTCGACTTAGAAAGTCGAGCGAGTGCAGTTTTCCGACTGAAATTCCGCGGTCATGAAGCAGTTTTAAGTCGAACACAAAATCGAAACATGCCCGATTTCCGTCGAGAGAGTTTAAACATACCCAAGTTTAGTCCAGAAAGTCGAAACATGGGTCAAAGAAGTCGAAACATAGGTCTAGCACAGTCGAAACATAGGTTGAGCACAACCTATTTTTTTCAAAGGCTTAACTTTTTTCAAGAGTTAATTCAACTAAAACTGAAAAAAGAGCCAACAAATTTGCTCGGAAAGGACTTGCGTCAAAAAACTGCAACTGAAAACAATCATTTGACGAAACTTGCTTAACTAGAAGTTCCTGGCGGGACTCTTTAAGCTTTCGAAATCTAAGGATGCCTGCGGCCAGAAAAAGTAAATTCTACCAAAAGTTCTTCAAAAATCAGTTTTTACATTAAAGGTTTCAGTCCAGATTTGTAAAGATTATAAAAGCAAGGTTCAGAGTTTCAACTTGAAAAAAAAGTTCGACAGAGTTTTTTGCATTTTACAGGTAGTTATCATTATTAAAAAATCAACTGAAAGGCATATATTTTACATTTCTGTCAAGTTACTCGTGTCGTTTGATAGTCGAGAAAGTCAAGAAAATCAAAACATATGTCGAGGACAGTCCAAACATGAACTTTTTTGATCCAGAAGGTCGAAACATAGGTCGAGCACTGTCGAAACATTCGTCGAGCACAATCGAAATATAAATACAGCAGATTTTTTTGGCATTTTAGTACCGTTTTCACAAATGGATTTTAGCAAAGTAATATTAACAACAAAAACAGAAAAATTTGATAAAAGCGCAATAGAAATTGTCTTACTATCTGAGCTATTTGATTGATATTAAAAACTATAAATTAAAAAAAATTAAATTTGAAATAAAAATGTATGTTTTCAGATGTGTTTTCACTGAGAGACTACTAATAAATTTTGAAGTTTTTTGGAGCAACCACAGCCGGCAAAAAAGCGGGACATATTTTTGTTTGTCAAGAAAGTGGAGACAGTCGAAACATACTCATTTTTGGTCGCAAAAAACAAAACACATCTATGCGGGTTTGAACAAATAAAATTTTTGAAAAAAGTTGGTCGAGACAGTCGAAACATATCAAATTTTGGTCGAGAGAGTCCAAACATATCTGAACTGGGTCAAAACAGAGCGATTACTTTTTTTAGGTCAAGAAAGTCGAAACATACCAAAATTTGGTCGAGAATGTCGAAATATGCCAAAATTTGGTCGAAAAAGTTGAAACATATGGAAATTTGGTCGAGACTTTCGAATGTCGTAATGATTTATGCATATTTTGTTATGTCCCGACAAAATTTTAAGCTGGAATGATGTTAAGCTGATATTTCTCATATCAAAACTATTTTTGTCGATAGGTTTTTTGTTACGAACACTTATCGAATAAGAAACTGTGGCCTAAGGTTGTTTTTTTCGCTACAATTTTTTGATTACCTCAAAACGAGCTCATAGTTTGTCCAGCGTGATATGGCAAAAGAATTTTTCGAAAAATAAACCTTGTATTGTAAATAAGCAAATCTCACAGTGTTTATAAAACCTGGTCGGAACGTTTTTGCTGCTCAGATTGATTTATAATCTAGATTGATGAACTAGACAGAAGAAGTGCTTCACCGATTTGATTGTTGTTGTTGATATATTGATTGTTTTCTGTTCGCTAAATTTAAATCCTCAAACTTGTCCACAAAAAAAATTGGAAAAAAGGCTAGACAAAATCAAAAAATAAAAGGCATTTTCTTTTTGATATGGTTTCCCAACAAACACAAGGTTTTTTAAATTTCATTTCTCAGCAACATGTTTTCTGAAAAAGGATTCACCAAATCTGCACTTTTGCACAGCAACTTGTTCATCTGGTTATTAAGTATCAGTTATTAATGATGTTTGAATATTTCAACCTGCAACAAGACTGACGGATATCTTTGTGAACACATATCCGAACATGGAGATGGTGGCCAGGAACAGTTGGATCCGCCTGCCTCCGAAGCGTCTCTTCATGTACTCTGGCATAGTGTACACTCCAGAGGCCATGTACACTGGCAGAAACACCCACCCTGTAAACAAGTTTGAGACACATTTTATTTTAAATTGCTCACTAAGAAACCAATTAACAAATTCGAATAGCTGAAAGTTGGGGATATTTTTAATTAAATGAAGATCGGGAGATTAAATGAAGGTCCCCCTTTATTCAATTTGTTCATAATAGGCCAATATTAGCTAATTAATCCCCGGTAAAATTACAAAATCATAGTTTTTTATTTTCAATTTAGATTTAATTTGAGGAGTCTGCCGCCCAAAAACAGGCAAATAAGTGTATAAATTTTAAAAAGTAAGTATCATCACTGGTCAATTTTTTGAAATTGTTATGTTAACCGAAAGGATCAAAAATATCAATTGATTGAGTAAAAAACACAGAATTGGCAGAAAACAAGCTAAGGAGTTTTTTTATTATTGAACGACGCCACATCCACTCCTTGATGTTCTGGAATTTTACCTTTAGTAGTTTTTTTTATTTTAAGTGTTAATGAAGTTGAAAAAAAAAACGTGAAGTTGTAAATTTGCTCACCCAATAGTAACAGCACCCAGACTGCATTGATCTCATAGCTGGAATACGCAATGCCGGACACTACTCCACTCCCAGCCAGTCCAGTGAAATGCTCACTGCCAATATTACTTGCGAACAGGGAACCCCCCACAGCCCAAAAGGGCATGTCCCTGCCCGCCAGAAAGTAGCCCTTGGAGCTGCCCCTGTTGCCCGGTCGGAAGACGGACCAGAGACCGACCGCTATTATTACTACGAAGTGGAGACATAACACGACTATGTCTACTATGTTTAACACTGCCATGCTACTTTATTACAAATTATGTCTTAATTTGCAAATTTTCAAGTAATCGGAAGAAGAATAAGAGCCAGTTTTTAGCCGGATGATTTTTTATTTCATGGATAATTATCTTTGGCTAAATGATCTGCTCAGAAAAAATTGCCAGGAAAAATCAGTACAGATTTTTTTTCAAGGAGTTGCAAAACAAAAAGTTTTGATAACGTTTTTTAAGATCTGGTACTTCATATAAAAGGACAAATTGAATGAATTTAATGACTCACAGTAATTGAGCTATGTTTTCATGATTTGTTCAGTACTTCGCGATGTTGCTTTTGGCAATTAATGGTGATTGGTGTTTTAGAAAACGTAAGACCAGCTATATGGTACAAAACGTAAGTGACTGCACAATTGAATAGTTTTCTGTTTCAGCTTCACTTTTGAGCTCTAAAGTTTGCCACCAATAGAAGAGTCGATTTTGTGGCACAAAAAATAAAAATTGTTGGCCGCAAAATGAGCGTGCTGAAGTGTTTTGCATTTATTTATCCAATAATGAATGCGAATTTTACAATAGATCCTCTAAAAAGTGTATAGGTCCTGCTGATTCAGAGTCTGTTCACGTGGAGCCAGAATCAAAATCTAGACGCACATCAGATTTATAGCAAAAAAGCAGTACTAAATATTGATGAATATCAAATTACTCTATGGAACAGAATTAATATCATAGGTCAACCCAAGTTCGATATTTCAATGTTTCTTGAATACTTTTTTTGTGAAGATCCTTCTATGGCTACCTATGGAAAAACAACATCGAAACAATTTAAATTTATATGATGTTAAAACTCTAACCATTATTTTATTATATTGTAAATAAACATATAACCAAAAAAAGTTGTGCGATTTACACTTGCTTAATAATATTAATTATCATTTTGCAATTAAAGTGTTCATTCTTTTTTATTATCAGCTTTTGTGAGGGCATACAGCAACCGATCCATGTCCGCCCAGAAATGAATGTCCGTAAAATTGCCAACAACTGGGTGCTTAGGGCCGAGGGACAAGTTTTTTTTTACAAAATTCGATGTTTTTTCAATACAAAAACTTTTATTAGGATCAGAGACCCTATGAGTAGGATCATAAGTTATGATACGTTATGAAACCCCCTAGTTTTCCAAATATTCGCTCTGAATCATTGTTGGGTATTCGCAACTACTAATCCGTATTACAATCAACCTATGCCACCTGATGATTTCGAAGAGATCAATGTCTCAATTTCTGCCGGTTTTTATGTGAAAATATTATTCAAAAAGTAATTACGGCATTTTAATCAAAATTTCTCGTTTTTGGTAAAATTTTGCCAAAATGTTTTCGACATACATAACATCGAGTTCATGGGTATAGTTGATTACTAATATGATAATAATCATGGTAGACACGACAACAGTTGGCCAAATTCGAATTGATAGCACAGATGCAGCAATCAAAAACTTCAATAATTTTGTACACTTGCATATATATTTTTTCTAAGTTTCAACCAGGCATCTGATTTTGTATGAAAACTCAAGTCTTCGCACTACTACCTGAGTCGAATGATGTTCCGTGATCAAGAAACAGTTTTAAGTCGAGTACAAGTCGAAACATACCCAATTTTTTTTCAATAAACTCGAAAAATATGTCATGAAAGTCGAAACACAAGTCGAGCACAAAATAATTTTTTCAAAAATTTAAAATATTTATTTAATTTTGTTTTCAGGCCTTTAATTTCAGTTGGAAATTGAGCCAAAAAATTTGCTCTGAAAAGACCTCCATCAGAGTTTTGCAACCCACAACAAACAATTGAGGACATTTGCTTGCAGCAAAACTAAAATTTTCGGAGGGAACCCTATAAGTTTTGGAAATCCCAGGATTCCTCCGGCAAGAAAAAGTAAATTAGATTGAACACTCTTCGTATGTCAGATTTCCCATCAACCGTTTCAGTCCAGATTTGTCAAGAAAAAAAAGCAAAATTAGGAGATTCAGTTTGAAAAAATATATATAGTTTTAGATGTCGAGCGCAATAGAAAAAGAGATCGAGCAGATTTTTTTGACATTTTCGGTACCGTTTGCAAAATTGGGCTGTACCAAGGAAATATAAACAAAAAAGAAAAAAACTCTTTGTAAGCGCAATAGAAACTGTCTCCTTATCAGAGCTATTTGATTGATATTGAAATCGTTTTAAATGATTTGTAATTCTGTACGTGTAATGACTTTACTTGGAAACAGTTTTTTATTATTATGATATATCCTCACATAGGGCGAGTCATAGCGCAACGTAAGATTCATTTTCTAAATTACTTTGCTCCTTCGTTGGCAAATTTAAAAAAACTCAAAAAAAAGTTATAAATTATTGTTAGGGCTTGTTAATAGTACTCAAGTGCACTAATGAGTTGTGCACATTCATTGGGAGATACAACAGTGCCGAAGTAAGACAGTGACAAAAAAGTGTTCAACAGTGCAAAAAATTGATCATTTTTGGCACAGTTGAATGACACTTTTTTCGGCACTGTTGTACTTCGGCTTTATTGAACGCCCCTCTGAGAGCAGTAAAGCAGTGCCAAAAATAAAATTGTTGTTGAACAGTGTCAAAAACCATCCGTTATTGGCTTTGTTGAACACTTTTCAATTCGGCACTCCTAGACATCGGCACTGTTGGACGCCCCACTATGTTTTAACGCGCACTTAATGCGAATAAACCTGACACACAAATTAAAATCGGACTCGGCTCCTTTCCATTCCCCTTCAACCACCTTTGAGTTTCAATTTCGCAAAATTATTTCTAAATTGTCATAATCCAATCCAACTTGGCATGGTGATTAAACTAAAAATTGGGAACATATTTGTTTTTACACTTTATATCGAAACAATATGCGTTTTGCCATAATTGCTCGTAAAATTATAGGCATCAGAAATTTGAAAAGTGGGGTGTATTGGAAAATAGCCTCGGACTCTTTCCAATTTGGAACCTGATCTAAACTACATTTTATTATTGGATAAATTAGATATTTTATCACTATAAAATATTTAATTTTAACCAATCATATACCATCTAACTAACAACCCACTTATTTGTAAGTGCTGAAATTACTTGTAATTTCAGCACCAGAGAGATTTGAATTTAACTTAGAAATTAGTTACCTCTCCAAGAGAACTTCAGCAGTCGCAATAAGTCAGTATACTCTAGATCTATTGAGCCTAGCAGAGATTAGTTAAACACCTTGAGACTAGTAGATATAAGAGTAAGATTAGGATCGGTATTAGACTAAGAAGTTGCACGAATCTATCCGGCCGAAAATAAGATAGCGTGACGAGCAGACGGTGTACCCTATCCGAAATTACTCTATGAGTTATACCCATAAACCATAACTCATCTGGTGCGACCATAACTCTCGAATAAAGAACTTAAAAAACGAAATAGCTTAGAATTAACCAAAAATAGATTAGAAAATAGATAAAACATTTTCAAAATGTTACACGACAATAACTTAATTGAAATGTCTCTACGACTCAATAGATCAGAGCCGCTATTCCGCACAATACGAGAACTACCCGGTATTCGAAAAAGACCTCGGACAAGAGATGACATATGATTAAGTAGAAAATTACCATTTAGTTTCATGGTCGTACGGCAAAAGCCAACACAAACTTTTATATTTAGAATCCTACAAGCAATGAATTTAGATTTTCATTTGCAAACATAAAATCCTTGAAGGAAATCTTCAATGATTATTTCAGGCGCTAGATAAAATTACTATTGTACAATAACGATTGATAAAAACATCTCAGATCGTTTTCTTAAATTCTGCAGTCTTATATAAAACATATTTGAAAAAACATTTATTGAAAACAAAAATAAAAATTAGTAGCATGACAAAAATATGTCAGTATATATAAATCATCCTGTTGTTCCAGCTTCATCACCTAAACATAACAGCAATCATAAATCAACTAATGTCATCAAAAACTAAAACCTTTTATCAAATAAGTTTAAATTATTTTAAACTTAATTCTATTTTAATCTTGAACCAGATCATCAAAACTTTCCTTGGTTCTAAATCAATTTTCTATCTATTTAAAATTTTAAATTCTGATCATCAAGGCTTATCCTTGGATCAAAACAAAACAATTTTGTTCTCCCCCACCCACTTATCAAGTGTCTAACGACCTCAAACGTCGATTCACTACCCAACCTTTTCAAAAGACCCAGGACTAATAGAAATTTTTTAATCACGCTAACCATTCAAATTAGGCTAAACAGTGAAGAACTTCGGTTAATCATCCTTCACTTGAACCCTCCTCTTACCTGACCCAGGTTAAATCTTAAACTTAGTAAGTTTAAAATGGTATCTAACGAACTACTTGCGTTCTAATTATACCTGAACCTTGTGGATCGATTTACTATTCTCCAACCCTTGAACGCAATCACTACCCCTAAGTCAGATTAAGTAAGTTAACACCTGAACTTAGACTAGCCACGAGAAAGTAAAAATCATTCTTCGGAATCGATATACTTTTCTCTCCAACCCTGAACAAAAAGACCCAGGTTAAGCTAACCAAAAAAAATCGTAAGGACTAACAGTCTAGGAAAATTAAAATCACTAATAACTTCTTGCATCCCTCATCCTAAACCTTATGTCATTGAAAAATTTAGGAAATAAACAAATTGTATTACACACCTGTGAAATAGACAACCAAAAATATGATCTTTTAATGACCCCGCATACACAAACAGTTGGATACATTCGAACAAAACGACAAACAATAAAAAGAAAAATTATAAGGAAACAAAGACAGATAACACGGAAAAGATTTTCAAAAATAGAAATGCATTCTCCGAATCAGAAGTCAGTAGTCTAGACGCACTATACAAATTGAAAGAATCAGTAAATAAAAATTGCCCAATCCATGATCAGTTAAATTTTGCCGATTCAGAAACAACTTCAAACTCATCAAAAAGAAGAAACAGAAGAATAAAAAAGATATATAAACACAAACCAGTACATCTATACAATTGGAATCAACCAATTAGACATTTTGATAATTATATATTAACACTCATCAAACGAAAAAATGAGCAACACTCAAAGTGACGAAAGTCCAGACGAAGAAGCAGTTTTTCCCTTTGTTATAAATTCACTCTGTGATAGAGGACAAACACGATTTTGCAAAAATTTACTCGTAAACTTGTTTGAACCAGGAATCAGTCCATGCAAATCAGAATTCCCAGATATAAAAATCAAAAGACAAATTATAGAACGTTATTTGAAAGACGTATGTAGCCTAACGCAAATATACGGAATCTACACCATAGAAATCAGTACACCAAGAACACTTCATGGTAAATATATTATCCAAACAGACGATATTGATTTAGAATTTTCAAAAGTATTCACAGAATATATCAAAAGCATACAATATCAAAACTCACAGAGAGCAAACTCAATATTCACCAACAAAGTTCTTGCAATAATATGTAGTTATTTATCTATTAGAAAGAACAGAAGCTCAAAGTACATCACCAGTCCAAACATCAAAACATACAAAAGTAAGAATCGAAATCGTCGCATTTTCAACATTTTCAAACGCAATCCGTGAAAATTTTACCAAAATGATGTCTCACCAAACCTTAAACATGATTTACAAAAAAAACTAGCATGGTTTACAATTGATTATTTTACACATAATATCGACTTAATTGAACAAGCAA